AAAATCGTTTGCACTGAAAATGGTTTGGTGTTGACAGATTTTTTTGCAAAACAAACAAAATTTTGTGTAGTGCAAATAGGCCCTAAATTACTTTGTTTAAACAATATTGTTAGTATTTTAACTGCCCAGAGGATTTGTTTTTGGTATAAGATTTAGCATATGGCTTTCACACATATTTTTCTTTGCTAATGATGGTCAATCATTTTATTCTCTTTTTCTTTTGCAGAGAAGTGCAACTACAAAGGAAAGCAGTAAGGATCAATGTATGACAGGATGGTACATGCCCACATGGCCTGTCCATTGAAGTTCACGTTTCTCTTTGTTATCAAATTCTGCATTTTTGGTGGTCTGGAATGTGCCAACAACACAGATGTTATCAGCCATTGCATTGATAACCAGCCGTGTATTGGTACTTATAAAGAGATTTATAATGACTTAGCGTTAGAGCAGAACAGCTTTAACATTCGATCAGCATTGTATCCAGTAATGAGGCCTTCATCTGTACGTGTGTTTGTGAATGTGTATGGACCTGATGGAACACAAAATCCTAGATCAAATGCAGTCAAATACACTTGGAGTACAAACTGCCTGTTTGTTGCATTACCTGCAGCAGTTCTGCAGGTCATGTCCCTTGGTTCAATATTAGTGGATCCTCGTACACAGCATCTAAATATAACCCTACGATCCTTTTTTTGCTGTAAAGTTTCTGAGGACAGAAGAGAAAAGATGATTAAGAATGTTATAGCTGAGGTGAGTTTAAATCTGCCAATGGATGTGAGTTTCCTTGCTTTATCTGAGAACTCTACAGTTAAGGTATATAAGAACTCCTGGTTTGTATATTTGACTATAATGACTCAAAGAGTTTCTGAGTAAATGAATTTTTAAATGAACAGAAAAGGTCACTTAAAAGAAAAGACACATCCTTACACAGAATAATATAGAGCCTTGACAAGCCTTAAAGTGGACCTGCAGATGTTATTTCTGAAGTTTAATCCTTGTGAAATGGGGTGCACACTTGGATTAGTAGATTGGAACTTCTTTTGTGTAAATTTATTTGAAACCATTCGAAAAGACATCTCAACAATAACCAGCACACAGCATTGAATGGGCCAAAATGCAAGTGAGTACATTACTTAAATTAAAAAGTTCAGCTGCTATAAATTATAACACTGCTAAAAACATAGACACCCTACTCTTGCAAGAGTTATTTTTTTGGATGGGCAAGTTGAAAATGGACACTTCGTAACTGATGTTTGCATTTTTGTAAAAGAAAACTTGAGAATCTACTTTCGAAAGATTTCAGTGGAAATAAAATCAGATGGAGAACACAAAGAACAATTTATCTGAGATAAATTCAGACTCACTTATTTTATGGTTTATTGCCACTGGTGTCTGGTGCCACGCTTCCTGTAATCTCCTTCACAGCTGAGACCAAACAAGAGCCTTACTTTGGTTCCCTCATCAGAGACAAAATCAAAATCATTCAGTTACAGCTACTTGCCTCAAAAGTATTCTTCCACATAATTTTGCAGTGACAAGCAAATCAAAACTCTAAATTTATCTCCAA